ATGATGGCACTGCTAGGGAACCCTATGATGGTACTGCTAGGGAATCCTATGATGACACTGCTAGGGAAACCCTATGATGACATGGCTAGGAACCCTATGATGACACTGCTAGGGACACCCTATGATGACACTGCTAGGAACCCTATGATGACACTGCTAGGGGACCCTATGATGGCACTGCTAGGGAACCCTATGATGGCACTGCTAGGGACACCAGTTATGTATAGCATTTTACACGATTTCCCCGTGCGTGAACTTTGCTTGACCTTAAATTAGATTCTTAAGGAGACTCTCGCTTCATAGATGGGCGGGGCTAGCTCTTTTGATCTATCATGTTCATTAATTAAACAGACATGGTTAGACTGTCTCCTAGTATCTTTTCAAATGATCTCGATTTGTTCTAGAAATGTAAACAAATGCTGAGTAGCTTCTGGAAGGCAGGGCTTACGTGACAGTAGACCCACATATAAGGATTGACAGGCACAGGGGGGGGGGACGGAGATTCAGATAGATATTATTAACTTCAAGAGGCGTGTAGTATTCTTTGTGTATGTGTTTATTTCGCATTTCATCATTATTCATTGGCACATTATACTAACTGTGTACCGGTACACGATCTAACCATACTGTAAGTTGATGATTTGTATTGATATTTCTTTTGTTTTTTAATAATATTAATACTGAATAAATCTTATTAATTGTAACTAGCAACTGTTTTGGGTGTCGCATCTTAAAAAATTGTTGACTCTATGGTATTGTCCTTTGTTAGACACTGTTTACAACGAGCCAATAGAAATTAAAATAGGAGATTAATTTCTCATATTTGAAGCCAGTGCGTATCACACCCTATGATGTCACTGCTAGGGACACCCTAAAGTGACAATGCTAGTAACACCCTATGATGGCACTGCTAGGGAACCCTATGATGACACGGCTAGGGACAACCTACAATGACACTGCTAGGGACACCCTATGATGACACCACTAGGGACACCCTATGATGACACTGCTAGGGACAACCTTATGATGACACTGCTAGGGAAAACCTATGATGACACTGCTAAGGAATCCTATGATGACACTGTAGGGACAACCTATGATGACACTGCTAGGGACACCTTATGATGACACTGCTAGGTACACCCTATGATGACATTGCTAGGGACACCCTATGATGACACTGCTAGGGAACCATATGATGACACTGCTAGGGACACCCTAATGATGACACTGTAGGGACACCCTATGACACTGCTAGGGACAACCTACGATGACACTGCTAGGGACAACCTACCCTGACACTGCTAGGGACAACCTATGATGACACTGTTTATACGCTGCTTAGAATATCTGTTTTTTTTAAAAGTGGACCTTTTTAGGAAATGAATGATTTATAAATGAATAGCCATCGGCTAATTCATCAGTAAAAACGACGTCCCAAGGTTCTTTATCGACCAATCAATAACAGGAGAATGCGAACTGATCGAGTTTCACACACTGCAAACCAAGAATTGAGTTTCTACATTGATTTTTTTTTTTAGAGTGTGTAAATAATACACGCTTTGCGTGTTCGGTCTATCAGTGCGCATTGTAGACCGATTACTGAACGAAGCCCCCCCCCCCCTTTCCCGCAACCCCACTCGTTTCCCCATTTCCCCCCGTTCCTTTTTTACACATTTTTTTTTTAGAGTGTGTAAATAATACACGCTTTGCGTGTTCGGTCTATCAGTGCGCATTGTAGACCGATTACTGAAAGAAGCCCCCCCCCCCCCTTTCCCGCAACCCCACTCGATTCCCCATTTCCCACCGTTGCTATTGTACACAGGCAGGCGTAAATTGAACCTTATCAACACTGAGACAGCTCCAACTTGAGACACACCAGGTGTGTTGGCCAACTAAGGCAAGTTGGCAATTCCGGTTCGGTCATACATTTTTCAAACAACAGAAGTTGTGTGGAGTACGTATTGAATTCTATTCTCGGCTGAAGAGGTAAGTACTCTCATGAGGTCCCATTAACTACAGATTACAAAATATTTCAGCCACATAAATTCCTTCTGGGAAAATATGAGAATTATAATATGACGGGAAGTTATACCACATTATGGTCCTACAATTTACTGCAACACGTTAAAAAATAAATAAATGTGTAGATAATGTTTTAAATTTTAAACCTTCCCCTACGTCTACGTATTATATTACATAGATATCTTTGTTTTTATACGTCTTCATAGCGGAGAGATGCATTAAAAAAAAAGTTCCCTACTAAATATATTGATGATGCGTTAAAACTTCTCATAGGTAATGGCTCTTAATTTAGCATGAACAGAAAATGTAAGAAACTACTCTCCAATACAAATTAAATCCAAACAAGGCTAACATAACCTATCTCTTATATAAATTACGCTTCTGGTGTGACTCGTGGACTGCTTCCCAATGGACTGCTTCCTTATCAGGGAATTTGGTATTGTGAGTATATTACAAATAATTCTATCTGAAAGAAAATATGGGTCAATGATGAGTTCAGCAGCGCGCAAAATATAATCCCCGATATGTCTAGTATAAAAATATGTTTTACTTTATTATTAACAACGACGCGATATATTTGTATCGTCACTTACAAGAACACGTGTTCTCAGCTGTGCATTGTAGGTTACTTTACATTGTGGACGAACAGTCAATTGTTATTTTATTAGCCTGGCAAAATGCTCCCCCACCCCTATATCTGTGTGACACACCAACGAAATACTTTGATGATGTATTTGACGCATGAGACAGGTTTGATGTTTCAAACATTTCTTACACGATATCAACAGCTGGTCAACGTGAGGTTTATGGATTTATTGAATGGACACAATTCGGACATCTCAGCATTTTCTGCACAGTTTTTAAAACAGAGATATGTAAGTGTAAGGAAATAACGAACGGTGACAGTTTTTAAAACAGAGATATGTAAGTGTAAGGAAATAACGAGTGGGGACAGTTTTTTTTACAATTTCCTATGAGACTTTATGGAACTGCAATGGGAAAACTCAATATTTTATCAAGTACATTTTTTTTCATAACTAAGCCGAAATAGAAAAAAAAACTTTGGTGGGGAATTTTAACACTATTTCAACAAAGAGATCAGAATTCACTACCATAACTCAACAATCAAACAACTTAATTAATATACAAAGACAGATTTAAACAACCTAATTTATAGCAATAACTATAAATGGTATTAACACGTTATTAAAGTCTAAATCCTATGTATTAATTCAGTCTAAATCCTATATATTAAATCAGTCCAAATCCTATGTATTAATTCAGTCTAAATTATATGTATTAAATCAGTCTAAATCCTATGTATTAAATCAGTCTAAATCCGATATATTAAATCAGTCTAAATCCTATGTATTAATTCAGTCTAAATCCTATGTATTAAATCATTTTAAATCCTATGTAGGCCTATTAATTCAGTCCAAATCCTATGTATTAATTTAGTCTAAATCCTATGTATTAAATCATTTTAAATCCTATGTATTAATTCAGTCTAAATCCTATGTATTAATTCAGTATAAATCCTATGTGTTAATTCAGTCTAAATCCTATGTATTAAATCAGTCTAAATCATATGCATTAATTCAGTCACCGAAGGCACAAGGCCCAGTTCCTATCACGGGTCTAATTTCAATTTTGTTTGGGGGGGGGGGGGGGGAACCAAAAACTTGGTCGGCTTGTTACGTTGTTTATTACTGGAGGGCCACAATTCGTGGCAATTTAAATAAAACCTGCAAATTCAGTGGGAGGTGAAATCCCCCCCCCCCTTTTTTTTTCTCCTGCCCTACCCAAATGACGTCCCTGGTGTCTATGCGAAACGAATTATTCAAAGGTAAAGCGGATACTTACAATGTTGAACCGTGACGAATTCATTCAGTGTAAGTGGATACTTACAATGTTGCACCGTGACGAATTCATTCAGTGTAAGCGGATACTTACAATGCTGCACCGTGACGGATTCACTCAGTGTTAGCTGATACTTACAATGTTGCACCGTGACGAATTCCCTCAGTGTTAGCTGATACTTACAATGTTGCACCGTGACGGATTCACTCAGTGTTAGCTGATACTTACAATGTTGCACCGTGACGAATTCATTCAGTGTTAGCTGATACTTACAATGTTGCACCGTGACGAATTCACTCAGTGTAAGCTGATACTTACAATTTTGCACCGTGACGAATTCATTCAGTGTAAAGCTAATAATTACATGTTACATTGTGACAAATTTATCTAATTTAAAGCTGAATGATAATTACATGGGGGACACAATCGTTTTAAAGAAAACCGATTACATTGTGCCTCGAATAACTCATTTCAGAGTGCCATTGACTTATCTCATGTAGCCACCATACCTGCAATTATGTTAAAGCTCTAGACAATGATGGCGTGCCAAGGAAGGGATACGGCAAGTAATAAATGAGACGAAAGAGCGGAATTGTAAACAACGAGTTTTCTTTAAAGAACCGACGAGGGTGGGGCTGGGGTGGGTGGTGGGCAGAAAATTAGAAAGAATGTCTTGTCACCGGCAACACGTCAACGTGTAAATTTTGAGCTCCTTACGTTGACGGGAAGTGGGTCAATTAGCCATCCGAAGATTTTTGCCAGCCAGCCACCCACGAACAAAAGTGAAAAATTAATATAAAGGATTTAAAAAAAAAAAAACGATTAGGATAGCAAGTATATGGGTAGCACACTTTCAACTGCTACCGATTCTTACAATGAGTCCTGAAAGGAAAATAAAAAAGGAAGAAAAAAAGGTGGGGGGTAGGAGGATTTACTACCTTTCTATTTTGCTACATTTCATTTTTGGGGTAGCACTACTCTTTTTAAAATCATCCATTCCCATACTTGATTGATCCCGTTGAAACCGACTTGCGCAGAAGCTCACTGCGCACCATCGCACCGCTCAACACCATACACCATCGTAAGAATCATCAAGATGTAATTTATTATGTCTGCTTCAATGTTAATGATCGTGGATGGGATATGCTTCATAAACCAACGTTAATCCATCATTTAACAAACATAAAGAAAATTGCCATAAAAGAAAAAAATCAATACATGGTATTTACTACTTACATCTGACTACATAAGTAGGTATTTATATATATATAAATATACATTTATTTAATGAACTATTATCTTTTTTTTCCGTAATAGATAATGTTAAGCCAAATTTTGTTGTAATATAAATAATCTAAAATATGTTTCACAAATAAAAAATGAATATCAATATTACTGGTTCAAACGCAAAAAGGGGGGGGGGGGGTTGCTCTGGGGGGCGGGCGGGGGCAAATGATGAATTGGGCTTAATTTCTATTAAAATAATTTTTTTTAAAAATCTCGAAAATAAGTTTTTAATAATCTAAAATATGTTTCACAAATAAAAAATGAATATCAATATTACTGGTTCAAACGCAAAAAGGGGGGGGGGGGTTGCTCTGGGGGGCGGGAGGGGGCAAATGATGAATTGGGCTTAATTTCTATTAAAATAATTTTTTTTAAAAATCTCGAAAATAAGTTTTTCATTGCTTCGCTGATGCTAGCCTTGGTGAGTTGGTACTAGCCTTGGTGAGTTGATGCTAGCCTTGGTGAGTTGGTAATAGCCTTGGTGAGTTGATGCTAGCCTTGGTGAGTTGATGCTAGCCTTTGTGAGTTGATGCTAGCCTTGGTGAGTTGATGTTAGTCTTGGTGAGTTGATACTAGATTTGGTGAGTTATGCTAGCTTTGGTGAGTTATGCTAGCTTTGGTGAGTTATGTTAGCTTTGGTGAGATAATGCTAGCCTTGGTGAGGTGATCCTAGCCTTGGTGAGTTGATACTAGCTTTGGTGAGTTGATACTAGCTTTGGTGAGTTATGCTAGCTTTGGTGAGTTGATGCTAGCCTTGGTGAGCTGATGCTGGCCTTGGTGAGTTGATGCTAGCTTTGGTGAGTTGTGCTAGCTTTGGTGAGCTATCCTAGCTTTGGTGAGTTATGCAAGTTTTGGTGAGCTGATGCTGGCCTTGGTGAGCTATGCTAGCTTTGATGAGTTATGGAAGATTTGGTGAGCTGATGCTGGCCTTGGTGAGGTGATGCTACCCTTGGTGAGGTGATGCTACCCTTGGTGAGGTGATGCTACCCTTGGTGAGGTGACCCTAGTCTTAGTGAGGTGACGCTAGCCTTTGTGATTTGATTCGGTTTTGGATTTTTCAAGCAAGCTACAAGTAGCGCTCTAACCAAACCACGGACCAAGGTGCTCTGCATGATGGGCCACTGGTAAACGGTTATTCCACCAATGTTAATTTAGACACGCTATAGCCATGTTATTAGACATGGACACATGACACCTGTCATATTTCAGAACATTTTTGTATTTTTAGTGGAGAAGGAAGAAAACGGAATATGTATCGCTGCTAAGTTTTTTTTTTAATAAATAGATTTTAACAAACTAATTTGAACTTTATCTGAAATTTTAGGAAAAAAAAACACAAATAATTTAAAAAACTTTTACTACCTTTTACAACATTATCATGATTATACACTTTGTATTGCAACAAAACTATTAATTTTTATTGCAAAGGTGAATTCAACCACAAAATTATTTAAATGCATTAAAAACAAAGAAGAATAAATTCCACAGCATTAACACCCACTTCGCTCCTTCAGTTTTACAACTGTTCGTAAATTAGGCTGAGCGTATTTAAATGGTCCTAGTACTTTGACATATGAAAGTATCAGGATAAAAATGTTAACATGTGCAGCAAAATATGACACGAACAAGACCAGCATGTCTGTTATAATATCAACATATGACACAAACAAGACCAACATGTCTGTTATAATGGCAACATATGACATAAAAAACACCAACATGTCTGTTATAATATCAACATATAACACAAACCATACCAACAAGTCTGTTATAATATCAACATATTACACAAACAACACCAGCATGTCTGTTATAAAATCAACATATGACACAAACAACACCAACATGTCTGTTATAATATCAACATATTACACAAACATCACCAGCAAGTCTGTTATAATATCAACATATGACACAAACAACTCCAACAGGTCTGTTAAATTATCAACATATGACACAAACCATACCAACAAGTCTGTTATAATATCAACATATTATAAAAACAACACCAACAAGTCTGTTATAATATCAACATATAACACAAACAACACCAACATGTCTGTTAAATTATCAACATATGACACAAACAAGACCAACATGTCTGTTAAAATATCAACATATAACACAAACAAACCAACATGTCTGTTATAATATGAACATTTGACACAAACAACACCAGCATGTCTGTTATAATATCAACATATGACACAAACAACACCAGCATGTCTGATGTAATATCAACATATGACACCAGCGAGACATAACATCAACGCATGACACAGTCATCGTAGACAACAGACGAGTCAAAACAGTGTCACTCTTTGAAATAAAATAAATGGATTACCGTTGCCACTAATTGTGATGACCTCGATACTGTACCGACAGTCAGCAAAACAATATAATCTTTTATGTTCGTTGGCCTTGTCCATGGCCGTTCCATACTGTTCCCGGGTCAATAGATTCGATTTATCATTAGGTGGTCTGCGGGCAGTGGCGTGGGGACGTGCCGTTAGACACGGTTCATTGAGCATGGATCAATTCAACAGATCTGTCTGTCGATACATTCTACAAGGCAAGTTACTTAAGACCGAATGTAACGACCGTAAAAATAGCAGCTACTTACCAGCTATGGAAAATCTCATTAACACATTATAATAATTATAAGAGACGTGGTCACTCTCCTGGAAGATGTCGAGTATGCTCTTCTGTGCCATTGAAACCTATAGAGAGACCCGGTAATCAGGAATCTGCTAGAAACTGCCAACTATAAAAACGGATCCCACTACAAGTAAAGATTAAATTTTTATGATTTTGCTCGTTGGGGAGGCAGGTTTTTTTTTTGGGAGGGGGGGGGGCGGGTATAATCAGCTGTATGAGCCTAACTTTAAAATAATAAAACAAGAATACCTATAAATCCATTTGATATATATTGAATTTTAAACAAACTAATGATCGCATAAAATTTTAATTCAAAGCATACTGTTACAAATACTCGAACCTGTCACAAATTACTAGGCTGAGAGGGGAAATGACAAAAGAAATTTTAAATAACAAATGGCTTTTCAGAAATTTTAATAAATGACATTCTCCCTTTCAACAATTTCACGATTTCTTTCCATCTAAATCTGCTCCCAGCAACTGTCTATAGTTCATCTGTGAGATTTAACTAGTTTTTTATGCATCTCTTACCAAGATATCTTTGTCAAGTTTGCCTGAATTCGAAATAGTTTTCGATCCATTGGACACCTTAGATCCTTCGAAGACAATTCGCTTTCTCGTTGCCAAAATTTACCTGAGATTTGACAACATATTCGAGTAATTTGACCAAAAAAGCATTGTCTTCTTAGTGATTCATCACATGGGGCTTTACATTAAATTAAGTTAAATTAAGAAGATTGACCACACAGCCCTTCACAAACAGATTGAATTCAAACGAGTAGAATTGGAATAAATACCTTACATAAATCTGAACACCAACCAAAATAAATTAATAAACAGACTGCTTATTTGCGAGCAAGTAAAGCATTTAAAAAAAAAAAAAAACACCGTTGCTACACTCATTTCTATTTGTACCCTTAAGAGTTTTCAGAAATGCAGTAAACACCTCTATGAAATTAAATTAAGTTAAATTAAGAAGATTGACCACACAGCCCTTCAAAAACAGATTGAATTCAAACGAGTAAAATTGGAATAAATACCTTACATAAATCTGAACACCAACCAAAATAAATTAATAAACAGACTGCTTATTTGCGAGCAAGTAAAGCATTTAAAAAAAAAAAAAAAACACCGTTGCTACACTCATTTCTATTTGTACCCTTAAGAGTTTTCAGAAATGCAGTAAACACCTCTATGAGTGCTAAACATTGCTGATATTTGACGCTAATTGCCTTATGATTAATTGAATAACGACTTACAGCTAACTGCTGTACAGGATCTGACGGAATTTATTGACAGAAATGATAGAATCGAGAGGGATACATTTGTTCTTTAAGGGAGTCATTACATTTCGTTCTGAGAACGCTGCAAGGAATTTCTCCGAACAAACTTTGTGTGTCCAGAGGGATGTATCTCGTTGTACGGCCTTTTATTTTGAAACACAATCAAAACAACTTTCGGGATGGGACGCTAGGCAACGCTGAGGTGGTCGATAACCACTGCTAACTAAGCTAACTGCTGCTAAATACTGTTAACAACTGTTAACGATTGCTTACTACTGATAATTTACTGCTAACTATTGCTAACTACTGATAACTATTGCTAATAATACTGATAACTGATGATAACTATTGCTAACCACTGATAACTAATGCTAACTAATGGTAACCACTGATAACTAACGCTAACTATTGGTAATCACTGATAAATACTGCTAACTACTGGTAACTAATGATAACTACTGCTAACTGCTGCTAACTGCTGCTAACTCCTGCTAGCGCCATAAAAGAAATCTCCTTAAATAATGAATGTATTTAATTCTTTAAAAAAAAATGATTATACTTTTTAAGACATAAAACACGCGTGTATACAATATTCAAAACAAAACTACGCGACTTTCTCACACATAGTTTTTATTTCTATGTATATTTGATACCAGAATTGTTAGAATGAACATGTTGTTATGTTCAATTAGAACTCGTTTGAGAATCGATCCTATTCTTTAAATATATATATACATGCCTATTTGGATCAGTGTAATCAAGCCTTTTGTTATGTTCTGTTCGTTAAAGAGCCACGGTAAAAACAACGGATTGCATTAATTAATCCTTATAACGGTACGTAGCCCTGCACGTATCAATGACGAGCCCAGGCTATACATAACGGTGCCGTTGCTGGCTGACCTCGATCAGGCTAGATTAACATTGTAACAGGGTTCGGGGGGGGGGGGGGGTTTANAATGCACTAAGTTCACTACGCATTAAACAGTATACGCTCTTGACGGGGGTTGGTGAGTAAAAAGAAATATTACATTTCAAAAAATATTGTAAATATATCCATACACAAAAAAAAAAAAAAAACACCCAAAAAACAAAACAAAAAACCCAACCCAAAGCTTAAGTTGGGAAAGGGGCCGGGTCATCATGCTGTGAGGGGTAGGAAGGTCGAGGTCAGAATAACAAGCTTAGCGTTATCATAAATGGAGGGTGGACGAGCCAAAAATGTGCAGGCGACAATCAGAGCTTAGTGGGTTCAACAACGTTGATAGGAGCCATGATTCAACATGTTCCTCTCAATACATACTTTTATAATAACTTTGAAGACCAGAAATAAGTTTCTATTCCGATAAACATTTTCATGAATAGAAAAGGATGTGTAGGGGGAACGTAAGTGCTCCCTTGAATCCATCATTGTTTTACAATAATTATAAATATTTATAAGATAACGTTTTAAATATACATTATTTAATAATTTAATACATAACTATCCTGCAGTCTTTTGCAACCAGTCTTTTTGTAACATACCCAGAAGAAATATCTAGACCAGGGGTGGGCAAACTTTTTACGTGGAGGGTCACATTGACAAATGTAAAGATATTGGGGGGCCGCATGGATATTATTTCTAATTTTTACATGTCGATAAACATTTCTCTTTATTAAAATCAGTAAATTCGCATTTTAGCATTACATGTCAAAAGTTAAGGACTATTAAAAAAAAAAAGAAAAGAAAATAAGAAAGAAAGTTGATCAAAAATGTTAAAACAATCATAACGGTACATGAAATTCTGTAAAATTCAACAAAACAAATTAAAAACAAAGTAATTTTTTAAAATTTCTAAATGCCTTCGAGGGCCGCATAATATCAGTTGCCTGACCGCATGTGGCCCGTAGTTTGCCCACCCCTGATCTAGGAGACTTATCAAAAGACTATTTCAGAACGAAAAGGCACAGACTGGTAGGGACGTTTTCGCCAACTTGCCGACTCCTAGCAGACAATACCCATGGTGGGAGTTAAGTCGCAGGCAGCAGAGTCTAGTGACACAGATGCGCACTGAGCACGGTCCCACTGGCAACTTTTCAAAAAGCTACATCATAACGGGGACCGTACCTGCCGGCATTGCAGCCTGGTCCGAAAACACGAGCGCATCTGTTGACCGAGTGTCCCTCACTAGATGGTCCGGGGGAGGCCAGGGCGTCGGGAGAGCCCTACGTGAGGAGAATGTTATATGGCTCAACTCAGCAGATGGACCTGGTAGCCAATGTACTTGCCGGGGTCATAAGATAGTAATCTCAGACTCTCGCCAAAATATGTGTGTTAGTTAGGAGACATATCAATAAGACATATCTAAAAGACTTGTCTCGAAGACATAACTAGAAGACATACATAGAAGACATATCAATAAAGACATATTTTATAGTTAGTGGCAAATCTTTTGATATATATATATTTTTTGCCTTGCAGGTTGGAAGAACACCACTAAAACATTACGTGAAATCACATACTACTGTAGCTGCGTGACATCACATACTACTGTAGCTGCAACTGCGGAGATCATCACAAACACAATTCGTGATATCACACACTACTATACTTCGCCTGTACAGATCACCAGTAACACAAAATTACTCGCAATCGTATACTACTGTAGCTACGCCTGAAAAGATTCAAAACGAAATTCCACATTTGTTACAGCTACAGCAATGGCTGTCGCGTTTGACTATGTGATAGCGAGTAACAATGGGACAGGAGCTAGTACTATTGGCAGACCAGCTTCAGAGTGTTGTCAGTCGAGAAATTGTTCCTCGTCTATAGGACGCCCAATTGTCCTCTAGCAGTCTCGACGGCAGTCTTGGGCCATAACGATGGTCGCTGATGGATGTGGCGTGTCAAATTTATTTCCTACAACTCGATCGATCTAATCAATGGACGAGGGCTGTTCAGTTCTAATTTCTTCGTGAACATAACACAACGTCATTATAGTTATTACTATGGATGCACGAGATCTTAGACAGGATATGAGCGCTTCAACATCGGAAAGATCAGCGGTCTACACTAAGAAAACGCCATTTGTCAACATCTCATAAATTTACAGACACGGTATTTTTTTCGTGGTTTTGTTTTTTAGGTAAACTTCCAAAACTGGAAGGTGACGTTATGATAGTTCGGATGGCGTCCAGCGACGAAGAAATTCATTGCGGCTACCAGCACGAAAGTAAGACTCGAACTCTTGTTGACAAATTGCTGCAAGTCGATGAAGTCAACTTTCTCCAAGATAAGACGGGGAAAGACTCGGACAGAGATGATGATTTGGACGAGTTGATAACTGGCTGGAGGAACTCATTCTTACTCCTCAAATATCCTTCTGCCTCGAGGCGCAACGATGCGAAGAGAAAGTTCTCCAAATCGCTTGGAGCGGAAGTCATCCAGACGGAAATAGCCGTACGCTGCATCAACGAGGACTTCAGTTCGGATCACTACAAATCGCCGTGGAAAGCGAGCGTAGAACCAGGGACTTACAGGTACATTGTCAATAACGGGTACTACAGAACCGCCAAGTTCTCCGCCACCGGTCGGAGCTGGGTCACCGCAAAACGATCGAGGAAACCAGAGCGCGGCTCCATGTCCAACAATGAGATCAAACGCGCGCAGAAGTCCCTTAAAAGAGATTTAGATTTCAGATTCGGTCAGAACCACGATTCGCGCTCCCAGTCAGACGAGATCGGTTCTTCTTCCGAGGGCAACACGGTCCATGACGAGATACCCCACGGCGGCAACACCACAGCCGGGGACGATCATGGGTTGAACGCGAGTCTGGTGCCACGAACCGTCTACGTGGATGTCAACGCTGACGCTTTTCATCACATACACAGGGTTGAAAGTGCCCCTAACCTGAGCAGTAAAAACAGCGCTGACGGCGGGAGAGCCCGATTTAGGGAGGATGGTCTACTGCACGAAAATGCACCGAACTTTCAAGCGCCTTACAGAAGTTCACAATCCCCGTTCACCACCGCAACTTTCCTAAGGGCGGAGTCGACACTGAGACCTTTAGAAAAGTTGACACCACAGCAGAAGATGATCGAACGCCGGGCCAGTGAATCCGAAAAGCACTCTAGCATCGCATGCAACGCTCAAACAAGTTTCATCGCCACCAGAAATGGTTTAATTCTTCAGCCTGCTGCTCACAATAGCAAGAATCCGTTTTCCGACTGGCCTAAAACGGATATTTATAACGGTAACGTCGACAATGGCCTCGCTCTACTTTCTTACCTTAAAAAAGGCGCGGCGGCCTCTGGCGGAGGTGACGCGAAATCAGTGAAAGACGCGTCGGCTAGCAAACCGACAACGAACGACTTGAGCCGGATATTAAGGGAGACTTCAAAAGTTTTAAAGTCAACCTTAGCCAACGGAATCGCCAACCATCAGGCCGCTGCACAGAAAAGAAACGGACAAGGCTATAAATATTTTGGCTCGCAGTCCAATGGCGCCCTGGGCGGCTTCTTGGGTTCAAATTTGGCTTCTAATGCCGACAAGGCGGCCAACTCGGGTTCAGACCAGTTTGGGATCGGAAATGCCCTGCCCCTTCCGGAGATATCCGGTAAAAGAATTATGATGGAAAGCCATCAGAGAACGTTATAGCCCCATTCCAAAACACGTTTTTATTCCAATGGTCGTTCCAATAAACATTGAATCTGGAACTCACCCTTTGTGAACTTTTGTTGTTGTTGTTCAAAGAGTACCTGTCACGTCTACCTGGTTTCAAGTTCTTGTACATGAATTTCAAATGAAAATACGACTTACAATAATAAGTCATAGTATGATGATAATAATTGATAATTGACATTGAAATGAGTTATCATTGCTAGGATTTATAATGGTGTGGATCTAACTAAACTTAAATACTTTAAAACTGGTGCGAAACAGCATTTTTTGGGCAATATGTCCCCAGCCAATGGATAAAAGAATCAAATGGCAGTAATTGTTAAAGATTTACAGTTTTCTAATAGGTCACTTCATTCAAGTTTCATGGTGCTTGAAACAATCCTTTAATAATAAGATAATTTTAATAAAGCTAGAGGAGAAATTTGAATAACTGCATTACCTCAGTCATGTTATTTGTATTTTTATCAAATGCTGATGACAGATTGGAGAGCTCAGCCGCAAAACATGCATTACTTGTTTCCAATGCGTAAGAATAAGCAAATGTTATTTTATTATTTCGTGGAAAATAACAGTTTTAAATGATTTTGTTACTTTGGAATGTGAACATAATATTTTTTGCCCCCACACTCATTAATTATATTCTTTGATCTTTTTTGTAGCCCATTATTGTTATTTTGTTATTGTTGTCTTTCTTTCTTTTATTTACGAATGAAACCATTGCAACCAAACCCATACATCTTACTGGCCAATCAATCCCCCCCCCCACCTTCCTTTAATGAATTTATTCAAAATCTGTCTTAGACTGGGTAGAGGTGGAGTTCCGTAGGCTGTATCCCATTTAATTGACACAATGAACATTCTGAAAACTCATGCGACGTGGGACGCATCAAGGGCGCAATGAGACACACGAGACACCGCTGGTCATCCACTGCATTCTGCAGTCTATTTCCAATCTTCTCGATTAAGTCCTTTAGAGAGGTAGAGGGTGACGAGCAACTCTCCATAACAATACAATTATGGGTGTTTTAAAAGTAATGTTTATTATCAACTTTACATAGCAGATGTGTGTGGAGGTGAGAATCGCACGAATCGTTTGATGTTTAGCACACAATCGGCATTCTGTTTAACTACGTCCCTTAATGGGACTCAAAGGCATCACTTGTTACACACGGAACAGTTTCAGTCCCAAGAAGATTTTAGTTTTTAAATCAACTTATTTGCATGTTGTACATTCAATTAAAGGTGCTTGACACTACAACGGTTCTCAATCAGGTTCTCAAAGCTGTGACAAATGTTTGAAAATTGTCCCAAGAGGGCAGGGTCGTCTTAAGAACATAGGGGGCCCTGGGCACAGAAATGCACTGGGGGCCCAGCAACACAACACACCAGGGTCGTTAGAAGGGGCGAAGTGGGGCACTCGCCCCATGCTCAAACAGTTGGGGGGGGGTGGCGCAAACAGTTGATGCTCCCAACCCAACTCACCAAGAGGAATAGCATTGTAAAATAAGAATAAACGTTCAATAAAGTTAAAAATAGGCTAATTCAACTTATTTATCCCCCCCAAAAATTCGTTCCAGTGCAATAATAGTTTAAAAACATTATCAGAAGTACATTATAATTCATCCCGGATGATGATAAATTATCAGGCTCTCCATTTTATTACTTAGTCTTTCTGCCTCACGCCTCGTATTTTTCTTTTCCTGATACAGCTGATACAAGAGTCCAGAGCATCTTGCATTTTTTTCGAAACGTTGACGGCATCAAAATGGGCCGACCATCTTGTGTCAGACAGATGCTTTACGACAACGAGAGATTCTCCTAAGGAAGATAAGCGAGCATTCCATCGATGTGTGGAAGCTGAGACAAGGGTATATAGGCGCTGAACAAAGTGAAACAATTTTACAACTTGTAGACATCACTCTGCTGCTTTTAAGCCCATTAGTTCAGGCTGTGTCTAGCACAATGGACATACACGGCAAAATCGTGCTTGCAGTCCAGTTTAGCGTCCAGACAGATAAATTTTAAGCTTTGTCATACGAATGACCACGGCAAATTGAAGGCGGAATTTCGTTCTCATTCAGGAAATCCAAAACATTGTCTGCTAGATCCTTTGATACACAACAGTGTCTGTTAGATCCTTTGATACACAACAGTGTCTGTTAGATCGTTTGATACACAACAGTGTCTGTTAGATCCTTTGATCCATGGGGAAATATGAAAATTAACTTGATAAAACGTTCCACAGACTTACATCCCCGAATGTACCGGACCGTAAATGCCAGTTGATCAATGTGTGAAATGTCTGAAGTGGAATCATAACTTATTGAATAATACTTTGACTCTTTAATTTCTTCCAGAATAGCACAAATGACATTTGCCCCACTAGATCAATAAATTTTTCTCAAATATTTGCCAACAGATATGATGTGTTACCCTTTCCAGCATTTTCATACAGTTTGAGATACTCTTCCAAAAAAGGGTTAAATTCACTCAGCAGCTCTAAAATTCCTAAACAATTGTTTACTGACCCAATAGTTTGACCCAAACCTCTGGAGGCAAGAAAGCGAACAACATAACCCCACGAGTGTGCTGCTGCTGTTCAGGCTGTCGAGGACTGCTGTCTTGCTGTGAAAGAATGGATGTCATCAAACAGACTAAAATCAAATGATGATAAGACTGAGGCAATTATTTGTGGTTCAGAAACCAATCTTCGGAAAGTTACCATTGCATCAATAAAAGTTGATAAATCAGAGATACCGTTGTCCTCGACTGTCAGAGACCTTGGCTTTTATATTGACAATAAACTTAGTATGATTCCCCATATCAGTTCTGTGGTCAAGGCATGCTTCTGTCATCTGCGTGCCGGGGTCAGCTGCGCCATCAACTCAATGGGAGAACAGCCAATGCTTTAGCGGTAAATCTAATCCAGTCAAGATTAGAATACTGTAATAGTTGTTTGTGGGGTTTACCTTAAATCCTGATATAGCAAAAAGAAATAATTTTTTGGAAAATAGACGACACGCAAAACAATACAAAGAACCTTGGTATGGTGAAAAGAGAAGCCAAAACAATACAAAGAACCTTGGTATGGTGAATAGAGAAGCCAAAACAATACAAAGAACCTTGGTATGGTGAATAGAGAAGTCAAAACAATACAAAGAACTTTGGTATGGTGAATAGAGAAGCCAAAACAATACAAAGAACCTTGGTATGGTGAATAGAGAAGCCAAAACAATACAAAGAACCTTGGTGTGGTGAATAGAGAAGCCAAAACAATACAAAGAACCTTGGTATGGTGAATAGAGAAGCCAAAACAATACAAAGAACCTTGGTGTGGTGAATAGAGAAGCCAAAACAATACAAAGAACCTTGGTATGGTGAATAGAGAAGCCAAAACAATACAAAGAACCTTGGTATGGTGAATAGAGAAGCCATTCAAGCTTCACATACTCGCCATTTATGTTTAACATATTTCTTGATAAAAATCGTGTCTTAGTTATTTCTTCTCCAGCTCTGCCTGAGTTTGAAAGGTTGCATTCATGATTCTGACACAATGATGGCCCACCGCGAATTCAGTACTCAACTGTACAAGTGCTCTTAATATTCCATAGCCCGGTATCTGTGTGCTGAATCACACACTCTCTTTTTCTGACACAGCTTTGTGTGTTTCAATTTTTACAATTTCCCCAGCAGAGGAAAAAGGTAATGGTACTGTCTGGAACTAGATGGCTGGATCCAATAGAGGATCTAGATGAGGCTTTTTTATCTTGATGAGCAGTATTAGTCACTGATATTTCGATTGGATTTAACCAAGATGTTAATTTTGCAAGTTTACCTGTTTTCATTTTCTCCTCAGCTCTTTTTCTATTCTGTGCTCCAATTAAAAAAAACTAATTTTTTAATTCCTGGTTAAGGGGTTAAACACGTAGAAATATATTCATTGGTTACTTACAAGTATTTCTATATTAATAACAGCAATCCGTTTAAAAGATACAGGTAATTTTTTTTTTTTTCAAATAGATTTGTCTGTCCCTTCAGACTGAAACGTGCCCCGCTAAAAACGAACATCGAGAAATGATCAATAGAAATGGTGCCATCAATAAAATCGATCTCTGTGTTTGAGCTACCCGGTATGCAAGATGAAAATTACTTTGAGCTTTAAACAGTGAGCACAAATTATGTCTAAATGCCTATATATTTCTGCCTACAGGTCAGACATACGGTGACTGTTGGGTTCTATTTATCATCTAAATATGTTTTTCAGACACAGAATACAAAATATCTTTCTGTTGAAAAAATTTAAAGTTATTTGGGTTTTATTTTTATTTTTTTTAAAATAAAGTTAATTTTAAAAAGAATTATACATTGGTGACCTACACATTCCTGATATAATGCTAATTAAATTCAGTAGTACTTGAACTGGTACTAAGATAGATTTTTCTCCATACATTTCACTACGGAGCAGAGGCGTATCTAGCGTAATTACTCTTACCGCCGTGGGCCAACATCTTTGTCTAACATGATTGTAAACAAATACTATAACTTTATTATTTTTCTATTCATATCTGCGAGAAGTAAAACTTGTTGACGAGAGTTATTCCCCTTTAAAGGTTAAAAAAAGTATCCAACTTATGATTCGCATTTATAATATTAATTTTGGAACGTGCGGATAAAATCGTGGGTTAAAATTGGGAAACGTGCTGTCCACTGATTTTTAAATCAAATTTAATTGCCAAAACTGTTCAATATCCATTAACAATATTTGCAACATGAAGCCTTTATAAGAGTAAGTCTTCTAGAAGCAAGGGCCCCCCTAGAAGCGCGGGGCCTTGGGCAAGTGCCCACTGTGCCCTTGCCTTAAGACGACACTGCAAGAGGGTAAAACCCTACTCATGGAGGCTGAGACCAAGATATTGTCTAATGATAGAATTATAACCCAGAAAATCCAAAACTTGCTTTGAAATAAGGATAATAAATGAAGCACTGCGTTCAAGCCTGTGTTAAGAAAGATTGGACAATATAAGAAGAACGTTTCGGCCTAGAGCCTTCCTTAGAGCAGATAGGACAAATGAAAATACGACAAGAAATGGGGAATTGTTATAAACTAAGTCTTTTGATTCAAGCTTCCACATACCTTGTCCTACTATGTCCTATAAAATAAGGACATTTTTTTTTTACAAAGAAGGTGGTGTTTTTTTGTGTGTTTGAGAGTAAGTCACGTGACACTGAGTTCAGTCTTGTAAATTATCGATCTTCAAAGTGTAAAGTATGACGTAGTTTTAAGTTACGTGTAAATATAAAACATACAGTTTTGATGAAACTCAAAGCAAAACAAAAAAAAAAAACAATACAAAAACAAGCAAATAATAAAGTATCATTAGCTGAAAATAGGACGCCATGAATAAAAACAAAGACAAATAATGCAAAAAATAGGATTGAAAAATCAAGAATAGAAAAGATTCTGTATAAAAAGGATGATTTCCACAGGGTTTTTGGTCTTGAGTAGAGCATGGAATGAAAACTTTCGTTGTGAGCTTAGCACAGTTGAAGTCCACTCTGAACAAGATTGTTGCGGTAGGCACGTTAGGTATTCTAATCTTTAAACCTTCTCTTTACCTGTATCAT